GGGAGGCAGAGGCAGGCGGATCTCTGTGAGTTCAAGGCCAGCCTGGTCTCCAAAGCGAGTTCCAGGAAAAGGCGCAAAGCTACACAGAGAAACCTTGTCTCGAAAAACCAAAAAAAAAAATAAAAATAAAAATAAAATGAGTCTAAAGAAAGAATATCCTTTTAGCATGTACAATTTCAATTTTCGTTTCTCTCCGAGCGATGCATTGGAAGTCTTTGGTTGCCTGAAGCTGCTAGTGTTCTTTTCTTAGAAGTCTGTGTAGAGGCAGGTTCTGGGTAATCTGATGGAGGTGGAAGTCGTGAGGGTTCCCCCTGACGTGCAGTGCTGATGTGGATGAACGCCTTCATCTTTCCCCTGGAACAGACGAAGATTCCTGTCCCCAAGAATTCAGTGGAATGCAGGCAGGCAGTGCCCCGTGTAAGGGATATTGGAGATATTTAGGGGAATAATCCTGGGACCTACCTGCCTTTGGGCTGGGGCAACTGGGCATGACAGATGACTTACCATATGAGGAACAGCCACACGGAATGAACATTGTCCTGCTTAAGCTTCTAGAAACACCTGCAGAAGTGTGGGAAAGTTGCCATGAGGGTGACATGTAGCAGTACTTGTGACAGCTGTGGGAAGAACCGGCGGGTTCTGTCATGCCAGGTACTGTCCTGCTGTGTTGGTAGGATGGAGAAAGGTTTCCTTTTTGTACATGGCATTTGGGGATATGTGGTAGTTAAGGATATTTACTTATACTTGTGGAATATAGCACTCCTTTTTAAGAGGAATTTGCACGTGATGGTAGCTTTTTGAACAGTATTGACTTTTTACAGCTACCATCGACTTTGGTGGATTCTGATTGTTTTGACCATAGAAGACTATTTCTAGGAGGATATAAGGCACACCAAGCATAGAAATGCATGATGAATTGCCCTCGGTGAGCGGCAGTTTACAGAGCGGTTTCCTGCATGAGCGCCTGTTGGCAGGCCTGTTTCCTGCCTCCCCACGCCCTGCTGGACCTCGAGGGGGTGGAATTGTGCTCCATTTCATCTTTTGTCTGTGATTTATGTTTCTCTGACTCCTCCCCTCACTCACCTTCCCTCAATATTGAATGATTTTAGAGGAATTTACTTTCTTCTGTGGCAGTTACCATGGTTTAGGGTGATATACTGTATAAATAGGCTAAGAAATAAGATCCATCTGCATCTCTGAGTTCATTAAGTAAGTTGACATGCACTGGACTTCACAGGCTATTGGCTGGGTTTTTGAGAGTGTGCTGCTGTGGGTTGGCAAGAGACATTGCTCCATAAAAAATATCCACCTACCAGCACCAGGAAAAGACAGCATCCAGTGAAGGAGCTGGCAGAGTTGGGGCGCCATGAAGATGAGCATAACTAAAGGGATTAGCCATGCAGTAAAGAAAGCCACAGAGGTGGAAGGCAAAACAGAATGTCTGTCCCAGTGTCTGTGACACTTGCTAAAGACTTGGGTTATTGGATCATAATGAGAGAAGAATAGCTTTGACTAGTTGGAAAGTTAAAGTTTCGGACCATGCAAGATAACAGTGACAAATATCAAACTGGGGCCAGTCTTTTTCTTGATACGGGAAGGAAAGAACATGACATTTTAGTCGTGTTTATGACGTACGTGTCTGCTACTTAGCACAGGAGGCAGGGCACATGTGGCCATGTGGACACAAAAGTGTTCTTATGAAGACGGTTTTTACGAAGGGCTTGGAAGGAATGTATGTGCTCTGCCATCATATTTAAAAAAAAAAATAGCCCACTAGGGATTTGTTTCTGCTCAGAATTAAGATTATTTAAATATGGTAATTAAGTTTAATTAGAAACTTCTTTGTGTTCAAAGTGATTGTTTTGTGTAATGCACTTTGAGAATTTAAGAAAAACCTGTTTCTAAAGTGATCTTTAGTCAAATCACTGTCAAAAGAAATGAGTGGGAAAGGTGGCATTCGGCCCGGTGGTTTCTCCTTCTGTGGTGACACTTTGCATTTTTCTTTCTCCAAACAGAAGCAAAGCATGGAGGACACAAGAATGGGCGGAGAGGAGGGATTTCCGGAGGCTCCTTCTTCACGTGGTTCATGGTCATCGCGTTGCTGGGTGTCTGGACGTCTGTGGCCATCGTGTGGTTTGACCTGGTGGATTATGAGGAAGTTCTAGGTGAGAGTTAGGCTATGATCTCTCTAGTGGATTTGTGAGAGGGAAAGTGGTAGTCTGCGGTAATCGCCACGGCTTGTTAATACCTCTCTGGTATTATTACTGACTGTAGCTTTCCATTGATTCTTGATAAAGTGAAAGAAAAGGGTGCATTACTAGGGCTGCCTGGGAGTAGCGGCCTTGATTTTGACAGTTTCTTTGCAGGTTCTCTATTTCTTGTGGTATGTGGAAGCTTCTATCTAAACAAATGTTGTTAAATTCATTTTCACTATTTTCTATATTTTCTATTTAATTTTGTTATGAGTTTTGAAAATTTTAGATCATGAACTGCTTCCTTTAGTGGGCTTGGACTTGAGATCTCAGTCTGTAGCCCAGGCTGGACCCTATAGTGGTCCTTCTGCCATGGCTTCCAGGGTTCACAAGGAGCACCTGCCATGGCTGTTGAGACAGGAGTGTGTGTGCACACAGACGTGTGAGTGCTAAGGTGACTGCTGCTGACCGCACGGGCAGGTGTGTGTCTCCATGCTCTGTAGGAAGTTCCTGGGGGTATTTCTAGTAGCATCTCACTTTTTTCCTTTCTCTTCATATAATCACTAAAAGTTAAAATTTTTATCTAGGTCCCTATGTGGGTGTCTGCCATGTGTGGATACCCACAGAGGTCAGAATAGGGCAGTGGATCCCTTGGAGTTGGAGTTACAGGTTCATGAACCACCTGATATGGATGTTCGGAACTGAACTTGGGTTTTCTGGAAGAGCAGAAAGCATTTTTAGACACCTAGCCATCTCTCCAGCCACACTGAAGTTTTTAAAAATGATTTGTTTTATATTGACCACTTTTCATTTCCATCTGTTTTACAAATGGAGAGAAATAACATAAGTTAAATACTGTAAACACCGGAAAATCTACAATTCATTGGTTTTTAATATATTCATCATTTTGCACTATCATCATCATCCAATTTTAGAACGTGTCTGTTACCCATTCTTCCCCAGACATTCCCTCCTCCCTCAACATTTTGACTTTCTGGGATGATTTTGTGGGTTCTGAGCATAGCATAGACATGCGTGTGGCCTTGTGAGTTGCCTGGTATGCTCAGCATCATTGTATGTGTGAGGTTATATGTGTGAGGTTCAGCGTAACACTCCATCATACGGATATACCACACTCTGTTTATCTAGTAGCCATCGATGACGATCATTTGGTTTCACTTTTGGCAGTTATGAACTATGGCTTCCCTCTTTAATAATCCACTTAAGGATTATTAAAGACCGGTCGGTGAGAAAGTGCACACGTGTCAATGTTGTGTTGAAGACCCACCCACTTCCGCTAGCCCTCCTGGGCCGTCATAGATTGTTGCCATCTTTCTTAGGGGAGAGGAGAACAAAAAAGAACACAGTCTGTCTACGTATGATCTGTCACTCACTGATGTTTGTCTCCCTTACTACCTTAAGGAAAGTGTCTTCAAACAGATGAATAAATTAAACGAACTTTAGCTTGGCATAAGCAAAAATATGATTTCATTAACTTACACTACTATGTTGCTAGGTAATATGTGTACCTTTAATGATAAATAATAATCTTCATGTTTTTGCATGCATGCAGCCAAAGCAAAGGACTTCCGTTATAACTTATCAGAGGTACTTCAAGGTAGGCAACTGGAGGTGCATTTTAAGTGTACTGCATCTGTCTCTAAGACCTCATCCTTACTCTACTGACTTAGGCATCTTCATCAAGAACGTAAGTGGCAGGACTAGCTTCCCCTTAGAAGGCTGTCAGGAAGGGTGCAGCCTTTCAAACAGTATTAAGTACTACGCTATTGATAGTCTTGACTTACAGGCTATTTCTTTCATTTTCTTAGAGGAAGGATAATGTCTTCATCGCTGCATTCTTACTGGATGCATTCATGCTGGTTTTCTTGTGTGTGTACTAAGCAGACTTTCGTATAGCAAAGCTGGAGCCAGTGAGCTGGGGAATTTTGTTCTGTACCAAAATTCCTTCCTGCCCTTAGGCAATCTTTAATGTACTTTGAATTAAAGAACTGGAAACAGTATTTACTGCCAAGTGTTTTTCATAAGAATGCTATGTTTTTGCTTTAAAGTATTGCTGTGTACTATGTTTTTTCCCATAGTTTTTGTCCAATGATGAATTATAAACCATGTTGATTTTGGAATATTTTTTAGGGTATGGTCTGTATTAGACTCATTTGAAATGCTAAACCTGTAGACAGCACCCTGAAAGTGTTGGCAGAGCACAGCCAGTGTTGAGGAGGCTGAGTGAACTTGGCTTCTCACCATTTCTCTTTTAAGCCTTCCCCTTTTTTCCTTAAGTAATGGATGTCCAGTGTCTGGGACATATTTAAATGGGTGACCATAAATTTTTCCATTGTCATTTCAAGAAGCCTCCAGTTTTACATACTTCCAGAACAGCCCCCCCCTTAAACTGATGCATGCTTTTTTGTTGTTGTTTGTAATTTATTATTAAGTATCAAACAATTCATCCTTTACTCCATAAGGTTCTTATGCTCTCTGTTGACTTATTTATATTTTATCTTTATTTGAAGCTTAGCTTGCATTCATTGTTGATAGTTAAATGAAACATCAAATTTTATGCATTTGTTCAGCTGTGAGAAATGGGTTGATTTTTTTTTATATGTACCATTTTTATGTAAAATATTTTGAAGCGAATAGTAAGATTATTGTGAAGTGATAGGATCAGGATATTCCCAAATCTTTAGGGGAAATACCCTCTCACTTGTATGTTAAGATTTGTTAGCTGCAAACTTCTTGACTCTGTAGGTGACCCGCCTGTGAGTTTTGGTAATTATTCTTACAGTTCTGCTTTGCAGGAGTTAAAAGAGAGGAAATAAGTAACATTTATGATGTCTAAAAACTACAGTGAGAAATGGTTCATTATTAAATTTGTTTTCTCTTTTCCTGTGTGTATCATTTCTCTCCTGTTGTAGGAAAACTAGGAGTCTATGATGCAGACGGTGATGGAGACTTTGATGTGGATGATGCAAAAGTTTTATTAGGCAAGTACATTTCTTTCCTTCTTTTTGTTAGAATGAGTTAAGATACTGAAGTCAAAAGAATATTTTTAATATTCTTTAATGTTAGATGTATTATTATATATAATAAAGTACATATAATGAAGTATAATAATAAAATGATTATTACTTTAATAATTATCCACAGAAACTGTAAATCTTTTATGGAAGTTATTTTTCAACGTAATATTTTGTTTTTGTGGATATACTAAATGGCCACTTTTTCATTTTGACTTTTCAAATCTCTTTTGTAAGTGAGCATGTAGTTCTTGCATATTAATTTTTAACAATTAGAACTTCATTTGTGTTTTCACATTTAAACATTTCATAGTATGAACTTAATGTTCAGAGATATAGATAATGTCCTCATGTGTTTTCAAATGAGGAACAGATTTTTTTTTTTTTTTTTTTTGGTTTTTTCGAGACAGGGTTTCTCTGTGTAGCTTTGCGCCTTTCCTGGAGCTCACTTGGTAGCCCAGGCTGGCCTCGAACTCACAAAGATCCGCCTGGCTCTGCCTCCCGAGTGCTGGGATTAAAGGCGTGCGCCACCACGCCCGGCCAGATTTTTTTAAAAAGCATCATTTGACATAATTTAGTCTGACTTTCTGATGTCAGTTTCTCCATTGAGATACTGATCAGGGCCAGCTTGGCTTAACTTCCATAGTGAGACCAGATGGGGCAGCATGCTCAGCAGAATATGACCATAGATGAAAATATACATTTCTCATCTGGCATAAGCTAATTTTGAAATAAAACCATGGCAATAAATATCTTTAATGTCCTATTCATGTTTAAAATTTTACATTAAAATATGAACTAGTGGTCTTCAATCACGGTTTCCTTTCTTTGGCAGTCTTGGGCTTCTCTCTGTCTTTGTAATCACATTACCAGCTAGGTGTTTCTTAAAATAAAGATTGGTATTTCCTCATTGTTTTAAAACACTGTCTTACTAGAAAGGATAGTGCTGATTTGAATATGCATATTTTTGTGTAATATAGCCTGTTATTTCTGGTTTTAAGCAGCTCATTTCCTTTTTCTTAGTATGAAACAATATGTACTAAAGCTTCATATCAAATTATTTAGCAAAACAGTAGCTATGGCCTGATATTATATGTGTACTAAGTTTAATAGCCTGCCAGCTAAACTGTTGAGTGTATTTCTGATCTTGAAGACCTGGGAAGGCGTGGAGCAGTTCAGCAGCTTTCAGAGTTAGATATCACCTCCTTTTACAACAGTTCTAAATGTGAAAGTGTTAGTTGTGGTCAGCTGTAAGCCAGCTTGTGCCTCAGTTCTGCCTGCTGTTTCCTTCTGCATGTGTAGTGGGAGGTAGTGTTTGCTGGGTCCAGTGGCAAGTCCACTGTACAATTTTCAGGATAGCTCTTGATTTCATCTCAATGGCATCATTTTATATTTAAATTCGAGTTTCAGTACATACATTAAATTCTCAGGTGACCATAGTTTTAGGCATGTGAAATAAAATCATGTACAATGTAATATGTGAGGGTGATTGAATTTTTTGCTGTAAGTGGTTTTATTGTTCTAAGATACTACTTTAAATGGATTCTGAATAGTGAAGCTTTTAAAAGCTAATGTCATAGGAATCCTGTTGTATTTTTTAAATATTAATAACTTGAGTGTGTTTTGGATTAATATAAAAATTGCATATAAACACACACACACTCACACTCACACTCACACATGCACACTGAAATTATAGACCCAAAGTGTATACTGCCTCAGTGGACTTCTGTACAGTTAGGAAAGTCATTTGGAATGGAAACTGTGTGGCTTCACATGGGATTTTACACTTTCACTAATGGCTATATATTTGTGTACTAACTCACCACCCAAAATGAAAAATCCATGACAGAGTTGTAACTAGACAATCAACTTGTTTTGGATTCTAAGAGGTATTCTAAGCTGGGGTTTTTTAAACCACTTTAAGGTGTTAGTTAACTTGAACGCTGGGGATTGCCAGTTGTAGGTAGACAGAAACGGTGTGAGCAGCTGTTTCTTCCTAGGCGAGTGTGCCAGGAGGTGGAGCCCAGTGTGGGGGACCTCCTACTGAAGCTGTGCTCTGTACGGGTCTCAGCTCTTACTTGGCTTATGACTTAATAAAGATGACTCCCAGGCCCATTGCCACTGTCACCATGCACTGCCAGGTGTTTCTTCTCTGCACCAGTACAGCTTTAGCTCTGCTTGACTTGGGCGACTCCGGTTCTTTTCTCACTCGAGGGAGCTAAAGCTCAGCGTGCTGAAGTTCCTTGCAGGTGTCTACAAAGACAGAACCTGGTCCAGTGTTGAGAAGCCCTGTGTGATGGGGGAGCCGTTACAGAGCACGCATTGCTAAGAGGCCAAGCCTGCTTTCCTTCCTACTGGGATAGTTAAGATTAACGCAGGAAGCCAAGTTAGGGAGGGAGGGAGGAGGGCTGACGTTGCAAAGAGGCACAGAAATGTATGTGTTAAATTTCCGCAGACTTGGCATTTATTTCCTACATTCCCTTCCCCCTGCCCCTGCCATTTGAAGTCTAAATCTAAATCATACCAATTTGTGGAAATATACATGTTGCTTTCTTTTAACATTTTAAGCAACACCTCCCCCAAACCTTGAATTGCAAGTACAGAAGTATGAGTAAATCAAGACCAATAGCTGTTACTGATTTTACTAATTCTCGGTCTCCTGATATACTTTGAAAATGTACAAATCCTGCCTTTGGAAATAGGAGATTATAATTTCCTACTGTTGGGGCCAAATTGTTTAAAATGCAAATGATTTTGGTTTCAGTTTCTTAATGAAACTTTTACATACACACATATATGCAACAACAATTAAAAAGAGGCCGTGAGGGGGACTGGAGAGATGGCTCAGAGATTAAGAGCACTGACTACTCTTCCAGAGGTCCTGAGTTCAATTCCCAGCAACCACATGGTGGCTCACAACCACCTGTAATGAGATCTGGTGCCCTCTTCTGGCCTGCAGTCACATATGCTGTATACATAAATAAATAAATAAATCTTTAAAAAAAAAGAGGCAGTGAATTTGAAAGACAGCAAGAGGGTGGGGCAGCAGTGGGAGGGCTTGGAGGGAAGGCAGGGAAGGGAAAATCATGTAATTGTTTCTTAATCTCCAAAAAAAAAAAAAAGTATTTCCCACATACTGTCAGTAGTAAATGGTCCCAGCACTCAGTGCGGAGGGGAACTTCCTACAGCACCCTCACTCGAGGATGCACGCCTGCCCCTCGTCCTGCAGCCAGCACCTAGCGGACCCATGGCAGGTGTGGTGCAGCGCCACGGGAAGCAGTCCCTTGTGCATGCGCTAAGTGTAGACTGGAAAGAGATGTGAGGCCATAGTGGGGAGCATGGAACTCACCCAGCATTTAATGCACTCACCCTACTGTTGGTTTGGGGTGACTCTTAGGTTCAGAAAAACGACATGCCCAGAATAGTTTTTCTCTTCAGATTGGTGTATTCCTCTTCTGAGAACTATAGATGCAGAGCTTTGAGATGGATTAGTTGGTGAACCTCATGCACAGACATGAGGACCTGAGTTTGGATCCTACAGTTGCAGAAGCTCATTCCTCATCAGGAGGTGGAAACAGGAAAATCCCTCAGGGTTTGCTGTCCAGCTCTTCTAGCCTAGTCGGTGGTCTCCTTGTTTCATGAGAGACCCTGTGCTGGGTCCCTCTGAACCTGCCTGGACTCTCACATCCAGCGCAAAATCACTGAACCCGAAGGCGTCCCAGGCTCAGTACCAAGTCATGAAGAAGATGCTTGACATACTCTTCAGACTACCCCATGTGCGCACAAGCATATACATACACATACACCACCCACACAACTACAAGCTGCTTGGGTCACTGTCCAAATATCTGTTGCTCAGTTCCACCTGCCATACTGAAGCCCAGAAGTTTCCTATTTTATTGTAGTAATGTGAAGCACTTAGAGCACATTGGAAAACAAAATAAAACAGTGTTTTCTCTAAATATACAGTGGTAGTATTACAGTTAGGGAGAAGACTCTTTCTCACAGTTCTTGGGTGGAAACGAAGGTCTTTGTTTATAGCATTTGGAGGCTTAAGTTCCCTGAAAAACACCCGGAGCTTGTCAAACATAATTAACTACCAGCTGCAATTTGTGTCCCCGCCCCCCCCCCCAAAAAAAAAAAAAAACTGATAGGGTCTAGTTCTTCTGTTGACAAATGCAGAGATGTTCACTGTAATCTTTCTGACTTCAGCTAGCGAGCGTTCTGTTATCTCTTGTGTGTCAGTCTGTCTAGCTAGTAGTTGGGCTACATGGAGAAATTGTGTGTTGTAGAGCCTGGAATGACCAGGCTTTAGTTACAAAGGCTCCAAGGTTCTGAGGTTCATATTCTTCCTGTTGGAACTGCCATTTGCTTTTCTTCCTCAAATTGCTGGGCTGTTCAGTGTGCAGTGCACTGATTTGATATCTCCAGAGTCTTTCCCTTCCCCTGGCCATTTCCCTGCTGGAGAAAAACATGACGATTTACACATTGATTTCTTCTATTCGGGGCCCTGTTTGGCCACAGTGCTTAGAAAACAGCAGACACCAGGAGTCTTTGCAGTAAGAGCTCCTCCTCTCATGGCTGAGGGGAAGAGCAGTTAGGGATGTCCCCCTGCGGCTGGCTGCCAGAGCCTTCCACAGAGGTCTTAGAGGCAGGCAGAGAGGATGATTAGTTTTAACTATTGAGCAGACTGGGAGGGCCGTGAGTCAGTGGTACGAGTGCTGTTCCACTAACCGGTTTAGGAGTTTGATGTGCATTACATATTTGCGTGTCTGGATGCCCCCCTGAGATGCTGCAGACTCGAATCCTGGTGGCTTGCTTGCTCAGAGCGCCCACGGTTTACTCCAGCGTGGATGATCAGCTCTGGTTCATCACTGAGCAGTTTGGAGGTTTGTTCTCTGGTATTTCTGTTCACTCTTCCTATCACTGTGTACAGAGTTTGGTGACACATTTTACCCGTTTTGACACCCGAGGCTCCAGTGGGAAAGAGGTAAAACTGCGGAGCTGGGAGGAGCGTGAGGTCGGTGGGGTGGACGGAGACTCGAAGTGTGCTTCTTAGCTGATTACTTTCTACATTACCTTTCCGTAAGCCTGTGACCACGATGCACCTCCCTTTTAAGATCGCGCTGCCTAAGCTTAACCTTTTCCACCTAACTGGTCTTCTCGTTTTCTCTTTCTCTCTTCCTTTATTCTTATGTAGGCCTGACCAAAGATGGCAGTAATGAAAATATTGATTCTCTTGAGGAAGTCCTTAATATTTTAGCCGAGGAAAGTTCAGATTGGTTTTATGGTTTCCTCTCATTTCTCTATGATATAATGACTCCTTTTGAAATGCTAGAAGAAGAAGAAGAGGAAAGCGACGCTACAGATGGTGTTGATGGTACGTCGCAGAATGAAGGGGTTCAGGGAAAGACCTGTGTCATTTTGGATTTGCATAATCAGTAACTTCAGGGAATGAAGGCACTGGGTTGTCGAATGGAGCAGCCTCCTCCTCCTCTCTCTTTGCTTATGCAGGGCTCACCATGTGGGGCAGTTGTGACTTCATGATAAATGTCAACCATGTGATCCTGCCCAGTCCAGCCACTTAGCTAGAGCCTCGCTTGGCTCCTTCCGTGCCCGGGAAGGAGCTGGCTCCCCTCATGCCTGTAGCTGTTCACGGAGTGCACCGGAAGTGATGTTCTTAGCATAATTGGTTTCTGTATCGTTTGATTTCCACTTCTGTATTCACTAAACTGAACTGGGAATTGTGTTGTAGTTAACCCTTGACGCCTGTCTTCCTAACACTCCAATGGTAGTTCTAAGGGGAGTGATTCTCAAACTATTCCTGGCATGACTAACAACGTTAAATGCTTCTCTGTTGATCTCTAACTTGCCTGCTGTATGGTGATGGCTCTTTAAGAAGCTGGTACATTTTAATCTGTAATTTGTTTAAGTTCATTGACTTGTGATATAAGTTCCTACAAACTTATTAAAGTTCTGTATTAATGGTGCTTTTGATATAATTTGAGAATAATCCCATGTTTTTGCCTTAGGGTAGTGAAGTTTCTGAATTTAGATACTAACAGGTCTGAATATGTCTATTTCTGAAATCAGAATTTATTTTAAATTTCATTTTCAAATATACATACAGAGAAGGTATTTGTAATTTTTTTTTAAGGTAGGCCTATTATAAGAAGGGGAAGTGAGAATGTGCGTCTTATATTATGTTGTACATATTAAAACTATCTATCCTGAATTAGTCTTTTTCCATTTTTTCCTTTCATTAACTTATTAGCTGTTGATTTCAGGGTTAGGTATAATATAATGCTTAGATTTATAAATTAAATTTATTGAAGTAGTCATTCATTTTCAAGAGAAATATTTTTTCCCACTAAGAATGTAGCGATAACATTGACTTAGCTTTTGAAAACTGTTTGCTTCATTAATACAGAAGCAGTTATTTAGCTGCATATGGATCCACTGATGGAAACGACTTCCTTAGTTTCCCAGTGACCTCCCTTATGACTAGAATAGAGTGTCACCTGAGGTATTCACTCTTGCTGCTTTTGGAGGGACAATTAGGATGTTTAGCTCCCTCTGGGAATCTCTAAAATTTGGCTCAGCATTGGGTCCTCATGCATTTTAAACTGGAATACACTGGTGTTTTAGACAATTTGATTTAAGTATCATTTTCAAATATTCTTTGTTTTTATATATTTACTTTCAAGTAAGTAGCTCACCCATTTGTTCTGGGGATAATGTGGCTCCTTTTATTTCATGGTTATGAAATGCTGTCTAAAGTTAGTTCCTGGAATCAGAACACAGGGATTCACTCTCTCCTAACCATATCTACTTTTATATGTGGTTACATGTGCCATTCATGGACCGTGATTTCTCAAAGCTTAAATGGTTGTTAAGACTAGTTTTTCTCATTCTTGTGTTCAAGCAGTACGTTTTACTATGTTAGTGTGGCCTTGGTCACCAAGGCATTTGATACGCAAATATACAAGCACTTCAGTTAACCTTCAGCGAAGCAGTAAAAGGAGTATTCTTTGATAATCTTTCTCAAGACCATATCTTGATCCACTTTTCATTTGAACATTGTGAAATAATCAAAGGTTGTTAGTTTTAAATTCACAATTTTAGGTCCTACACTTAATAAAAGTCACTGATTCATATTGCTGAGAATTGTTTTTCAAAGCAATTTTGTTCTTGTGTAATGACTACTAACTATGTTATGGTGTTTTAGTCAGAAGTGAATAATTAAGTTTCTGTGTTAAAAGTGTTTGTAATTAATTTCTCATTAGGTTTTGCATTGCCATGATACTAATGCACATTTTATGTACAGAAATTAATTATGCCCAATTTCTCAATTGTAAACAAGTGTGTAACATGGTAACTTCTTGACAATTTAATACCACCTTTAATCATTCCGTTTAAGAAGCTTTCAGTGATGATAAAATCCAGGTAGCTGATGAACCCCTTACTTCTGTGACTTCCTTCAACTTGTGTCTAGGGCTCTTTGAGTGTGTGTATGATAAAGAATAAAATTATTGGCAAAAATGTGGTGTAAAGAAAACAACTTCTCAAGTGTTATTGATGACATGTATCTTAAGTTGTGATTGGCTAAGGCTTTACTTTATAATTTTGTTTCATGAGATATTGTCTTAGTCCATATCTTAAACTTATGGGCTTACTTCGAAAGGTACCTTTGTATTCTGTATATTTGAGTGTTTATTTAGTTACAGAGTTGTAAATTACTATATTCACTCTGCTTTTTCAGTTTTGATCATCTAAAAAAAACTGGCTTGTGCTGTGCAGTCCATGTAGCATGGGCTCCAGAGTGCTTGTTCCTGGGGGGTGGGGGGAGCGGGGGCTGGAGATTCCCTTGTGGTCCTTTGGCTACTTTCACCAGGGCTCTTCTCTCCCTTGGAGTGGGAGTGCTGGGAGGAAGCCCCTGCAGGAGTGTTTTCGAGGAGCTGACTGTACTAACTCAGAAGCCTGGCTGTCAGTGTGCTGCTGTGTGGATCCTGCTGCAGAAGCCACATGGATGGAGTGCTAGCTTGAGTCTTTCTCTCTACAAATGGCCCCCTGCCTTGCACAGCCCCATCCAGACATGTAAGATAAGACTTTTCTGTGTTTGGACCCTGATTGGCTTGTATTTATCCTTAGTTGTTCTGACTACACACTGTTTCCTCAGCCCTTTTCATATTAGCAACTTTGAAGAACCGCAGAAGCAGATAGAGAGAGGCACAGCCCTGCTGTTGACCTCATTGCTGAGCAGTGCCTCATGGGGATTGATATTCACAGCCCTCTATAAAATGTAAAACAAGCTGTGGAGAGAGCTGTGGAATTTCCTTTTGTCATGATGTATATTGGAACACTGAACAAGGAATTCAGTGACTATGTTCATGGCATTGGGTGGTAGGACCAGCATGCCATATTTTTCTTATATTTGCTGAAGTAAACTTGTCATACCCTCGGGTATTTACCAGCTAGATTGAGGACTACTTGGACCTAGCAGGTGGGTCTTTGGCTCTATTTGACACTTCATTGCTGAGTCCAACATGTGGCATCCATTATTTCAAATCACATCACTTACTGATGTTAGTCCCATGACTAATGTGGAGGAGCCTCGGGTGTTTCCATTGTGTACTAAAAACGCCGAAGTTTCTTCTTTTCAAAATAGAAATAATAATGAAAGTTTTTACCACCACCACTC